ATTGCTCATAATGATGTCTTTCATGAACGCACTAAACACATTGAGGTTGATTGTCACTTTATTCGCCATCATGTTGCACAAGGAACTGTTCATTTGGTTTTCATTGGCTTCGCTGATCAACCAGCAGATCTCTTTACCAAGGCTCATTTTCCTGGACGCTTTTGTACTCTTCTTTCCAAATTCAAGTTGATTTCATCACAACCACCTGGAGTTTGAGGGAGGATGTTAAGATGTGAACATAATTATATTTAGAATTATTGTAAATATTTTATACTTTAAAATATTCTCTTTGTATACTTTATACCTCAGAATATTCTCTTTGTAAATACCTATATATAGGTCATTGTACATACAGTATAATTCAAGAAAGCAATAAACCTTTCTTAAGATATTTCTCCTTCTTTTCAGTTTCTAACAGTTGGGACACAATTCTTCTATCAAAGACCTGCTAAGTTATGGAATCGGCTTAGGCTTATTCCCTAATGTCAAGACAATAGGAGAGGCTCGAGACAGAGTACTAACATTGGTTAGCAATCTAAAGTCCTCTTCTTTGCTGCTTGATGGTCATAGCAATGATTGGTTTGATATGCATGATATTGTACGTGATGTCGCCATATCAATTGCCTTAAGGAGCCAGCATTGGTTATCAATAGCAGAAGACCATATACCCAAGGGGGGGTCAGATTTCAAATGGATCAGTCTACAAAAGGCTAATATTAGTGAGCTTCCTGATCAATTGGAATGTCCAAAGCTTACCTTATTTTATTTGGACAGCAAGGATCCTTCCATGAAAATTCCAGAAAACTTTTTCCGGGGAACACAAGAACTCAGAGTCCTGGATTTCACTCATATGTGTTTCTCATCCTTGCCTTCATCAATCTGCTTCCTAAAAAACCTCCATACATTACATGTGAATGGAGGTGTTTTAGAAGACATGGCTATTATTGGAAAGCTGGCGAGTTTGGAAGTCCTTAGCCTTTCACAATCAGATATTGTAGAGGTGCCAACGGAAATTGGGCAGCTAACCCAGCTAAAGCTCTTAGATTTGAGTGATTGTACTAAACTCAAAATCATTCGGCCACATGTCTTGGCCAGTTTGTCCAAACTAGAAGAGCTATATCTGAGAAATAGCTTCGATCAGTGGGATGTTGGGGAAGGAGGAAATCAAAGAAATGCTAGCCTTGCGGAGTTGAAAGATTTGCATAACCTGGCTGCTTTAGATGTACATGTATGTGATGTCCAGCAAATTCCAAAAGTTGGCTTGTTATTTGAGAGATTGAAAAGACACAAGATCTTCATTGGAGAGGTGTGGAATTGCCAAGACAGTTCCTTCAAAAGCTCAAAAATATTGAAGCTGGAGCTGAACACAAGCATTGGTTATAGTCATTCAATTTTCGTCCTGTTTAAAGGTTTCAAGAATGTAGTTCATGAGTTAGAAGCTGCAGGTTTTCAGGAACTGAAGTATCTTCATGTCAAAAATGATCCAGAGGTTGAACATATTGTCAACTCATCAGCGGGGTCTGTATTTCCACTCTTGGAGGAACTTTTTCTGCAGAATTTGGATAATTTGGTGAAGATATGTCATGGCCGGTTCAGAGGAACATGTTTTAGGAGATTAAGCATTATAACTGTTAAGTATTGTAATCAGTTGAAAAATTTGTTCACATTCTCAATAGCTAGACAACTTCACAAACTCAAAGAAATTAGAGTGATGAAGTGTAACAATATGACACAGATTGTTGGTGAGGATCGAGTTGCCAGGGGTGATGGAAATAGCAGAAGCAGGTGAAACTTTAAAGCTTTCCCAACTACGGTCCTTGCAATTGCAATATTTACCGAAGTTTCTATGCCATGGAAATGAGGAAACAAGTGATCCAAGCTCCAACTCGGCACCACTCTTCGGTGAAAAGGTATTTAAATTTTCTTTTATACAGTATATTGGTGTACATAAAAAACTAAACAGAGTAATTAGAAGGAACTTGGTAAAGATTTACTTTGCTCTAAGTAAAGAATCGATGAAAATTACTACTTAAGTCGAATTTTTAAAGTTATATATGTGATGGCTGCTAGTTAATATGTCAATGCTATATAGTTTCTTTTTATTTTTTATTTTTTATTTTTTATTTTTTATTTTTCAGATTGTCTTTCAAAAGCTGGAGGAGTTACAATTGTCCTGTATTAACATTAAGAGTATATGGGGCAGCCAGCTTTCAATTGCATCCTCTTGTATTCAGATTCTGACAAAATTGATCATTGAGGGCTGTGATCATTTGGAACACCTATTGTCATCCTCCATGGCTAAAAGTCTTGTGAAGCTTAGATGCCTTGAAATAAAGAAATGCAAGGAGATAAGGGAGATAATTGAACCAGAGAATGCAGAAGATATGGACGATCTGATTTCATTCCCAACGTTAGAAATCCTAAAAATAGAACACCTTGAAAAGCATACTGGATTCTGCTCCGGCAATTGTAGGGTTGAATTCCCAGCCTTAAAGCAATTATTTATCGAGCACTGTCCAGAATTGAAGGGTTTCACATTCAATCATGCGAGCACAGATATGACAGGTGGACTGGAACCCCTTTTTAATGAGAAGGTATATTTTCTTCATTTTTAAATGCATTTTGACTAATTTTAGGAATTGATTCTGAGTATTATCTATTTTTGATTAATTAAAAATAAATGCAGGTTTCGTTTCCCAGCTTGGAAAATTTATTCGTCAAAGGATTGGAATTGAGGATCATATGGCACCACCACCTTCCTGCAAATTCTTTCTGCAAACTAAAATCATTGTACATCGGAAGTTGTGACAAATTATCAACTATTTTTTCATCCGATGTACCGAAGAGATTATGCGCATCACTAGAACGGTTGGCTGTATATCGTTGTTGTGGTGTAGAACAGATATTCGAAATTGGCGGAGAAGTGAAGGTCGATGGTGTAACAGACACCCAGTTCAGACATTTGCATCTTTGTTATCTACCTAGACTGAAGCATGTGTGTACCAGGGATCCTCGTGGTATTCTTACTTTTCGAGAATTGCAGTCCGTGAAAGTTTATCATTGTCCAAACCTCCAAAATTTATTTCAAACTTCAGTGGCTATGGAACTTCAGCAACTTGAAAGGTTGGAGTTAGGGGACTGCGGGATAGAGGAAGTTGTAGGATTCGGAGAGGGAGATGAAGAAGATCCCACTTTTGTGTTTCTTCGTTTATCTGTTCTTTACCTGTGGGATCTACCAAGACTCAAATGTTTCTACCCAGGGAAACATGTAACAGAGTGGCCAATGTTAAAAAATTTTAGAGGGTATCATTTAGGAGGAGTTACAGAAACAAATGTGGAGAGCCCTGGTGCATTTCCGGTTCAACTACCGCTTTTCACCGTGGAGAGGGTATGTGTCTTCCTTTATTATTATTAAGTTCGCGTGACGTGTTAATTATATAGCTGTTGTTGCAAATATGCTGGTAGCTAAGTCGCAGAAATAACAAATAATAATAGCTTAACAAAAAGATAGATGTAAAATAAAAGGTGATTAATTTCCATAGAATAAGAAAATGATTCACATATATAATCAGTTTTCCTAAAAACAAATAGGGATAATTCGTATTTAGGGTGGTTTTAAAAGAATAATAACACAATTTAGGGGGAGGTTAGAAAAATATTTCCACACAGGTTTTAATCTTGAGAATTATTCTAAGCTAGTATCTTGTACCACCAATTTTGCCCTTGACCCAATCTCTAAATTTTCAAAATATTACCCTTACTAAACGGTTAAAAATTGTGTACTTGTGAAAAAATATAGAC